ATTAGAATTATCGATAATTGGTAATATTTAAAAATAAGGACTTGTTAACACGTGTCAACACGTGGACAAGAGCACCTAACAGACGCAACCGAGATAACATCCATTATTAAAGTAGAACTCAGCCGAACACGTTAGGCGTATAAATCCGATGCGGTTGGCTAGAGTTGACACCCATAGGAGAACATCGTCAGGGACCTCAATGTCTATCATAAGGACCGGTGGCAAACCCGCTAAAGATCGAGATGGATAGTAACGGAATGGGGAGGCCTTTGGTCATCAGTGGGTCATCAAAGGCTAATATAAAAAAGTGATTTAAATGATGTAACTTATTTAAATATTAATTATGTCCTGTATTATATACACGAAACTTTTGCTGCCGAGATAATTAATCTTGATATAATGATGTTTGCTTGCTGATTCTTAAAAGATTCAATCAAAGAGTAGTATTATTATAACAAATAAAGATATAATTATAACTATTTATCAAAATGATGTCTGTCAAAAAATAACCTAACTTTTAGTTCAATGATTCGTAATATCTAAGCTATCCCGTAGAACAGGTCTATAATTTTAGATGTCATTATCACAATAGGCTAGATGTCATCAGTGTAACGGTTAGGCCCAGAGTCCTAAGGAAACTCGCCGATCTCCTTTAGATTCTGATTCTGATTCAGTTACTATAATACAAAAAAAAACAGTTATGCATATATTATTATATTCAAATTCTATAGGTAATGTTTAATTTAATTTAAAAACTTCTTCTCACTTTGTTATTAATATTTGTGTAATAATAATTTTTTTTTGTGTTTTCTTCTTCTCCTTATATATACCTGCGTCGGGTAACATCTACTGTTATTGAATTCTTTGGGTTAGGTTAGCTTAGAACTGTGATCATCAAAGCGCGAAGGCGAGCGATCGTAGCCAGCGGACCGCAGCAGCGGCCGGCGAGCGCCAGATCCCCCCTATTGTTGGTGAATCATTTAGGTAAAGTTAAGTTAGAACTGTGACCAGCGAAAGAAAATAGTTTATTTCGAAAGAAAATAGAAAGAATTCGATTTTTTGATGTTTCGAATTATCATTAAGTCGGACTTTTTTATTAGATCTATTAAAACTCGGTATTTTCAGCAGAGGAATTATAAAAGTTAGGAATATTGAAATTTTGAATTAAAATAATAGGATGAATGATCAGAGTTGTTATAGTTAATGTTTGATTTGTTCTGGGTGTGTCTATGTATAATATATATGTATTTACAAAAAAAAGTAAATATGTATTTATATTAGTTGTCTAGTACCCGTAGCACAAGCTCTGCATAGTTTGGAATAAGATGGCGTTGTGTGAATGTGGTAGAATATTATTATAGAAGACAAGAATGCTTGGGATTAATTTAGCACAGGCTATTCTGTAGTAGAAATGTAATGTGGGATAGTGTTTTTTCACTTTCCTTTTTATTCGATGTTTTTTCTTAATCTTGTTTTCTCTTCATTGCCTTTTTACCTGTTAAATAGTACTTAATAACTGTCATACTGGTACACATCGAAACAATTTTTTTTTTATGAAAAAAAGATATTTTGAGTTTGAGTTTACCGAAAATACACGCATTCGCAATATACTGAGAGTTTGAGAATTGTAGATAATGTTATTATAATATAAATTCTATAATATTCATCCTTAGAGTCATAATTAACAGATACATATAAAAGAATTTTATCCGGACATGTATTTTACCACAGCATGTGTGTAATGAGTTTGATTCCGTGTCTGATTTAGGACAGTCCTTATTAGTTTCCAGCTTTGCTCAACTAATGTGCAATTACTGTTAACATGTTTATTCTAACAACATCTGTTTGATCTGAGTATTGCATGTTCTCTATTTGTGCTAATGTTGATATCGCTTGCTTAATCTAAAGTGTTCCTCCCCTTTGACTATTCATGACATCTTCATATTTTATACAACATGATGAAATATTATTGGCTATATTGCTTTGAGAGCTTATACGTTTGTGTGCATAAATGGTTAAAATTCAAATTTCGAAGGGTTAACTGAAATTATCGTGCAGGCTAAATGTCATGTCACGAACGTGCTCAGCTTCGTGTAAAGTATTAATAATAATATTTAATATTTTCGGACATCTAACATACGACGGCATCCAGTTTCAAACTAAGCAGAGCTCGTATTATGAAAGCTAGATTGACTGAAGCTATAGTCCGAATTATAAGAAAAATAAATAGAAAACAGATAGTTTATTTATACTCTATGTATGTGTTTCTTAACAAAACGTAGTGTCTTTATTTGTTGGTTCTTTAATTAATCTGATTTAAGCCGTTGAGCTTAGCGTTAGCCAACCCAATTAATAAGTAATGTCAACAAAAAAAGTAGTACAACAATCTGCCAACCTATCAAGTATTGTTTAATAAGCCTGTTGGTCTAATGGTTAGTGATACTGACTGCTAAGTCTCAGGTCGTGGGTTCGAAACTCATCCAGGACAAATGTGTCTAGGTGTAATTAATTTACAATATGTATGTAGTTATAAATAAATTACTTTGTTTATAAGCTGTCTATGTTGTTATTTGTTGGTTCTTAAATTAATCCAAATTAAGCTGTTTTGCTTAAAGTGAAGCCAAGCCAAGTAGTAAATACAGTCAACAATAAAAGTAGTATAACAATCTACTAACCTTTCAAGTATTGTTTGACAGGCTTGATGGTCTAGTAGTTAGTGATCCTGACTACTAAGTCAGAAGTAGTGGGTTCTATTCCCATCCAGGACAAATAAATGTGTGATGAGCACGGTCATATGTTATATGTCTGGGTGTAGTTTATATATAATATGTATGTTTTTAGATATATAATTATGTTTATCAGCAGTCTGGTTACCATAACACAGGTTCTGCCTAGTTTGGGATAAGACGGCCGTACGTGAAATCTATGGGGATCGTTCATAATCTTTACAGAGACATATAAAACTTAAAAATTGTAAAAATGTGCAAATGGAATAAATTGTTAGTAAGGGTTTAAAGAAGACTAAAAAGTCGGTCATTTAACAATTTAAAACAAAAATAAGATATTTTCTATGCTGACTGTACCAAGTACAAACTTCAAACAAATCAATCTTTCCAGCTCTTCTTCAGAGTTTTCAACCGCATCTCAATAGTTTAAAACGCATTAGAATCTGTCTGTCATTGTCTGCGTGATAGATCTTTGCATAATATCCCTTTCAAAGTGGCATTCATTACAGCCAGCGAGTCTGGGCGAGTGGATACGACATTTGTCTACAGTGGGTATCCAGTAAACTCGAAGTAATCTGCCATTTGTACCCGTCTGGGGGCTTCCCCTACTTGCTTGAAGACAAATTGTTCGAGCGGGGGTGTCTGGTTGACCTCAACCGTATGCCAAAGCGATGGGTACCTAAAACAAATGAATGTGTTTATTGTAATGACTTCATGCCTATTGCTTGTTTCCGTTACTGATAATGTTAAAAAGAAACCATGTTTGGTAAGATAGGTATGGTATTTTTAGGGTTCCGTACCTCAAAAGGAAAAAACGGAACTCTTATAGGATCACTTTATTGTATGTCCGTCCGTCTGTCTGTATGTCTGTCAAGACCCATTAGCTCGGAAACGCGTGGAGGTATCGAGTTGAAATTAAAACGGTATACTCCGATCTACAGTCTCTTGAAGTTGTCTTTTTATGTTGGTTAGTTTCGATTACAAATTTGTACGGAACCCTCGGTGGGCGAGTCCGACTCGCACTTGTCCGGTTTTAACTTATTTTTATCTACGCAACTATACATTTGCATTTTAATTTAAAAGGGTTTCCCACAGTTCGTGTATACAAAATACATTATCTTAAGTGTACATTTGTAGTAAGGCCTTATGCACTTGCCAATTACGGGCTAAGCAGCATTCGCTAGATTGTTACACATTTAAATCGTAGTTAATAATATCCTAACCAGTTACATAACTACATTTTAATTAACAGATTTTTAATTAGTTGTATTTGTTGGAATAAAATGCACTAAATCTCTTCAGATGTTTGAAGTCGATCAGTTCCTTTCTTTGTTGTGATTAGGTAAAATTAACCTTGTAATTATTGGCACAGAAGTTTAGACCACTTGAACATGGACGACATTAATAAGATTCGAGATGGTGCAGTGCATAGAGTGGCTTACACAGATAAGACAGTTATCAACAAAAGTACATGTATAGTTTGTTGCGAAGGAAAGAAATCGCTTTTGCCGTTAAACCATGCAAGAACGCGGAGTAACCAGGTGCTAGAAGTGATCCATGCCGATGTCTGTGGACCCCTGGAGAATTGGTGGAGCGAGGTACTGCTTATTTTTGTAGACGATTATACCAGAATGGTATTTGTTTACTTTCTGAAAGCAAAAGGGAAGTTTTTAAGTACTTCAAAGGATTTAAAGCAATGACAGAGAATAAACAGAGCAGATATATAAAAACATTTCGAACAGATAATGGCTTAGAGTTTTGTGGGGGTGAGTTTGAGAGTTACTTGAAAATTGCTGGAATAATTCACCGAAAGACCAATGCCTACACACCTGATCAAAATGGTTTGAGCGATCGCATTAATCGTACCATTGTTGAGCGAGCTATGGTTTGTTATATAATGCAGGATTAGTCAAGAGGTTTTGGGCAATGCCAATGCTGCTGTATAACTTAGAACTAGATCCGTTGCATCAGGTTTAAATAATAAGACACCGTATGAGCTCTGGACAAACAAACAACAAGATTTAGGTCTTGTTCGTTTTTTTGGCAGTGATGTGATCGTTCATGTGCCAAAAGGAAAAAGGGACAAATGGGACAGTGCGGTGAAGAAGTACATTCTTGGGCTTCTAAGAGAATGTTCAGGGCTATAGAGTCTATGAACCCTTTAAAAAATGTGTGATGGTAAGTCAAGATGTGGTTATTTCACGAGAACACTGGAAAGAACAGCTCTACTAATGCAAGTGAATCTATTTCAGTGAGGAATGCAGGGACACAGCAATGAAACCGGACCATAATGAGCAAGAAGATGATGCGAGCATTTTAGAAACATTGAAGGCTGAACATGAAATCTTGAATACTTCATCTGATTCTGACTTTGAATACGCTGAGAGTGAGTTGGATAACACTTTAGAGCCAAAAGAGCTTGAACAAGCTAAAGAAGAGCTGGAGTTAATCCCACGCTATGGGCTAACTAATCTTTGTTTCGCATCATGTCCAGAGTTCTTCGAAGACCCTACCAGTGTGCGAGAATCATTGAAAAGTCCTGACAAAGAAAAGTGGGTTGAAGCGATGCAGGAGGAGCGAAAGGCCTTCAAAGAGAACAATGCTTGGAGTCCAGTGAGTGAGTTACCTTTAGACAAAACTCTAGTGCAGTACAAGTGGGTTATCAAAAGAAAAATTAACACTGATAACAGAGTGAATTTTAGACCGCGTTTAGAGGCTGAAGACTTCATGCAGAGGCCTGGAATTGATTTATTTTTTGTTTATTTATTGAAAAACAACAGCGATGCTATTATTTTATAACTTAATAACATACACTGATTATTTGGCTGATAACAGTATTTCCTGGTTAACTAAAAATGTATATATCCAGCATGCGAACAAAAAGTTGACATAGGATAATACTCAATTAGTACATAAGTCTAAAATATGATACGACATAAAATTATTGACCATTATTTACACTGTCCACTCAAAACGTTAGAAATTTTAGATTTGAATAGTTGTTTTGAACACGAGAAGAGATCAATCTAGTTGAAAAAAATATTATAAGTACGCGAAATACGCGTAAATACACTGTTTCTTGCATAGTTAGTTGCATGTCGGGGTGCATGAAGCATAGGTATATGTCGGGTGCGACGTAACGGAGTGTTAAATACTATTTGCGAGACCAATTCAATCAACATGTCCAATGAATTCAGAATTAACATCATCAAACCATTTTATCAATCAACGTCCCAACCCTGTCCCATCACTATGTTTCAGTGCATTCTAAGTTTGACTTTAAAATATCCAGTCACAGCGAATTTGACACGTCCCCCGCAACCCTTACATACCGCCTAATTTGGTGAACTCAAGTCGGAACAAATATTCAATAATGCGTAATCAATTGGGGGGTAATCTTTTCCTATTTAAATGCATCGCTTTGTACCAGCTACGAAAACAATATAACGTCTCAGGTCTAGATGTAGTAAAACTAAGCTTTCAACACGCTTCTTTTGCCGACTTCGAGGATTATCTTAACGGAGTGACATTTTATTGTAGCTAATAAAAGCCGACGGAACGGAAAGTGTACGAGAAAGTACTAAAACTTCACAATTAATCTAGAAATGCTTTCACGCGCTTTCTTAAAGTTCAACGGGTATACAGACAAGTTTAAAAAACCAAAGTAAAATCGGTTTTATTTTATTACTAGCTGTAGAAAGATAAACTGTGAATGTTTATTAACTATAAATCTTGTATTTCATTGTTCTTTTTATAACTCTTTTACTGAAATAAATTGATATGAAATAATAATGTTCGGGCAAAAGTGAACTCGCGGAATGCGAATGACATATCCGCAATTACTTTGTGCTATGAAAATTAATATTTATCGTGAATGCAGAATGCATAGTCATTTTTCATGCAATCTCGACGGTGTCGCGAGCCATTTCATTATCTAGGCATTGACTTGGTCGTGACCTCAGATAATACGTTATTAGCTGAAGCTTCATATACTTATGTCAACATGTTCGATTTGGGTATCATAAACAGCCTTTAATAGCCCACTGCTTGACATAGGCCTCTCATTAGAAAGAGGTTTTGGCCAGATGGGTTGTATATTTTTTCTTTTCTTTGCAGTGCTGTTGTCCTGCATATAATTAAAGAATTTGGTCGGATTGGGTATTATTAAAGATAGTACAAAAAACAGTAGTCTCGACTGCAAGAATGATATCTTATTTGTCCACATGGAATAATTCTTCTTTTTTAAATTTGTTCTATATTTAAATCTTAAAACGGTTTAGATAAGCCTCTCCCAATATAAAATATTTATTTCAAAATTTCTGTCTAGTAACGCCTACGTAAATAAGCTAGATATCAATTTCTCTATGCCGCAGGAAAAATACGTGTGGTGACGGATTAAGAATACGTAATGTCAACACCCCTATTCATCCCCTGGGGGTCGTAAAACTCGACTAAGGGAGCAAACAACCCAAGACAACAGCACTGCAAAGAGAAGGAAAACATGAAACAAACCATATAACAACTCGTCTGGCCAGCGTGGTACAGTAGGCCAAAACCTCCTTTCTAAGGAGAGGCTTATGCCCAGCAGTGGACTATTATAGGCTGTTGATGTGAAGGAAAATATAAAATAGGTAAAAGTCCTGGTCCTGTTAAATGCATATTCATACAACACACAGCCCAACTTGTATATACAACTTATGTGTAGACGGTGTTATTAACTTTAACATTAAACGCGGATTTCATTGCTTCAAATTTTATCAATGAAAAATTTAAAAAGAAACTATAAAATAAAAAAATAAAAACTAATTTTAACAACAAAATATACTTAATGAAAATGATACTTGCGTGGGTTATTATTTTATGAATTAAACAGAAATAAGTGCATATTTATTTCTGTATGTATCAAAAAATATGATAACAAATACATATGATATGAACGAAGTTATTACGTTGAGTATAAAATATATTCACTAAAAATACTCCTTTCGTCGCAAACACACTTTGTCGTAATCACAAAAAGTAAATAAATAAAATAGCTAAATAAGAAAAATATAGGCGCTGCCCTCACCAGTATGATCAGAGCCCCGGTCATGGCTCGCTTAGTGCGGAAAAACCAAAGGTTTATTGTCTAGAAAGTTAGTAACACTTTAAGATTCAACTTGAAATCAGTACGGTAAATGTTGCAGTCGAAGGAGGTAGCAAAAGATAAAAGTTACAAAAATGTTTAAAACGCTCAATGTTCATCGGATTCGAGTGATTTTACTCCCAACAATACAGAAACTACTAGAGCATTGCCCACTCTTTCTTTGCCCCTGGGGACTTCTGGCGAACCTGTTCATTAGCAAAAACATACGTAAGTAGCACTGTTTTGTCTGCTATTTTCTGTACAGTGGAGGTATTTCCCAAGTCGGGCGGTGTTTACCTCAAATGAGAAAGCGCCTGATCAGGAAATCCAGTTTAATAAATTAAATAAATGTATGCATACCATCCATTTATTTATGGTATGCATGCATTTGTTTAATTTATTTAACAGGTTTTTTTTTTCTTCAGGAACAAAATCATTTTTTATAAAGTATCATAATTTTGATCAACCCTTTTTAAGGAACTGTGAACTAAATACAGGATTGCGGGGGCGGAGACTCGGATATTACAACGTGAATCAGAAGTCAAAATACGTTAATTGTATCATACAAACAAACTTTATTATATTAAAGTTATATAAACTATTGACTGCACGGATGGTGTAGTGGTTTAAGTGGTCGCCACGCCGCTTCCTACTACGCCGAGTGTTGTGGGTTCAAACCCCATATGGGACGACGCTTTGTGTGATCCACAAATTGTTGTTCTGAGTCTGGGTGTTCTTTGTGTCCGTTTCATGTATGTTTGTAAAGTCCCCCGCGACACAGGAATATATATTCCTAATGCGTATTATCGTATTCTTTAACCAAAAAAAAAAAAAAATTATAAATGTGAAAATGACTTTGTTTGTTTAATAAAAATAATATTCTACCACATCTAGACAACACAACACACAACGCCATCTAGTCCCAAACTAAGCAATGCTTGTACTAGACAACTGATATAAATACATATATACTTTTTATTATATACTTGTACTAGACAACTGATATAAATACATAAATACATACTTATTATACATAGAAACACCACGACCAAATCAAACATTAAATGTTCATGCACACGAAATATTTGACTTGAGCGGGAATCGAACCCGCGACCTTTCACACACACGCGACAATCCACTAAATAGATTTAAAAAAAGGCTTTGACCAATGGGAAGTTTCATTTTATTTATCAGCGAGTAACATAATCTACTTTTTACAGCGATAACATACATACACCGACAAAAGCTAGTTTTAAATAAAGAAAACATAGTGTGAAGTGGAATTCACAACATAACAAGTATGTTGTGAATTCCACTTCACACTATGTTTTGAAGCGGCAAAAAATTATATCAATGTCGAAACTACATCATTCACAACTTCACATAATAGTCATTTCCGTCAAAACAAAAACTTGTTGACAAAATATGTCCTACATAACACGGGTCAATAAATCGTGGAGCATCTCATTTGTCAGACTATACAATGCTAAGGGTCTTTATGAAAACATCTACAGAATGTCACGTAAAAAAACTACAGTATTATTCATAAAGATATCATACATATACAAAGAGTTTCATAGAAGAGCTAAGAATGTTTTAAGAAAGAATTCTATGATGGCTGGTTTTTCATAGATTATTTTCTGTTCAATGTAATTTATATTTATATGTAATATTTTCTGTAAAATAATTTCTATAAATCTCCTTCAGGTTAGTATATCCTCCTTAAGAACCATGCTTAAGAACGATTATGTTTATTGGTGCACATTACCGTAGCTTGTTAAAACACCTGATTTTAAAAGAATTTTCAGACTTTTATCTATTGAATCAACAATTAAACATTTGTATGGATTGTCAGACAATTTTGTATGATTTTTGGAAAAAAATCAACGATCTCCATCAGATGTTTTACATTATCCCGAAATTTTAATTAATACCTTTAATTGGATAAGTTAGTAATTATGTCAGTATAATGATCAGCTTTTCTTGTGGATTGGCTTACATTGAAACAAAGAACAAACTTTAATGGGTGTACCTCGAAAGCAGTATATATTATTATCATATTCATTAAAGTTTTTTTTTGTGAAAGAAGGGGCAAACGAGCATTTGGGTCACCTAAGAGAAAGTGACTACCGCCGCCCATGAACGCCTGCAACTCAGGCGACACAAACGCGTTGCTGGCCTTTTAAGAAGGATTACGCTCTTTTCTTGAAGGTTTGAAGGTCGTATCGATACGGAAAAACTGATCTTCTGATACATATTGTATGCATAGTTATATGATAAACCCAATTGAAAGTGAACGAAGTTTGGCACTATTTCACTATTTGGCATTAAATCCTATACGAACCCAGCGTGGTACTCGTATAATAGGCCAAAACCTACTTTCTAAGGAGAGGTCTATGATCAACAGTGGACTTTTAGGGACTGATGATGATGATGTGATGTCTTGAAACTTTTTTGTTGCCATTTAAAAAAATCTACACGGAAAGTTGATCATTGTATTAACATAACTACTTATTTATCTAATTAAACGTATTGATTAAGGTTTCTGTTTAATTTAAAACTGGTGGAGATTTTGACTTTTTTTCCGAAAATATCCACTGGTTCAGATATATTAGTGGGAATTTCTGGCATAAATCAATATATTTCACTAGAGTTCAACATCACCCGAAGGTCG